CAGTGTGTGTGTGTATGTGTGTGTGCGTGTGTGTGTGTGTATACATCATACGTGAGTATAATCATTGCACCATCTCCATCCCTCCAGTCCCCATCTGACTCCTTCCATGCCCTCCATTTCCACTCAATTTCCTGTTCTCTTCTTTGATTATTACTGTTACATATATATATATATCATATATTATATGCCTTACATACATTATATACATTTTATACATATATATATATATATATCATACACTGAGTTCATTCAGTGTGCTCATGTGTACCTGTGTTTAGGGCAGCCCACTTGGAGTTAGATAACCTCAGGAAGCTATACCCTGGAGAAAACTGATTCTCCCTCCCCCAGAAGCCATTGATTGCCTGTAGCTCTTCATCTTGAGGGGACCCCTTGAGATTTCCCCCATCCATCTTGGTATGTCAACTTATTTTGTCATTATTCAGATCTTGTTAGATTACCATATCACAGGTGCAGTGTCCCTGTCACGTCTAGACTGTCTTAAGTAGCAGTAGGCGTCTTATCTCTCTGGCTCTTACATTCTTTCCATCCCCTCTTCTTTGATGCTCCCTGAGCCCTAGGTGTAGAGGTTGCATTGTAGATGTGTCACTCAGGGCTGAGCACCTCACAGACACTTATTCTCTGCATTTAACCAGTTGCCGAATTTTGTAATAGTCTCCATCTGTTGCAAAAAGAAGTTTCTTTGATGAATGGTGAAGTTGTGCTTGTCTATACATGTAGGGATACATATTTAAAATATAGCAAGAAATTTCATTGGCTTAGGGAAACGTAGATTTTCCTCTAGGGTCTATGCCATCTCCAGCCATGTGTACTTGGCTAGGTTTACAGTACCACACAGGTTCCCTCCCATTGAGTGGGCCTGGAGTCCAAGTAGACAGCAAAAGAAGCTAAAAGAATCCTTTAGCTTTTCATTTCTCATGGAAATGGGGCTCCCTGCCAGCCACCTCAAAATCTGCACTCTTTATCAAAACCCTGTCCAGTGCTAAATATAGCTTTGTAGCAGAGTTGAAGAAGGTCTTTCTGACTGTTAACTCCCCACTGGGCAGAGACAGGACATTCACACAAGGAGCAGAGTTCACATGTAAGTCATCTCCTGAGAGCTTTGGCTGCACCACTGAGTCACCAGAGATGGGCTGGGAGGTCCTGTTTCTCTCACTGGGCGCAGCTCATTAAGTCCCTGTTATCTTAGCTTCCGGTATGTATATGGCCCCCTCACAGAAGAGCAAACAGCCCACTCCTAGGTGACAGACAGGTGGGAAATTGCACACAGATTCCACTTTCATTTCCCAGTGGGTGTCAACTGGGACTGCAACAGAGAGCTCTACTTTTCATTAGTTTTGATTTAATCTGAGTCATTTTCCTCAGCCGCAGTCTACTTCTGTCTGAGATGGTCCAGGTTTTTACATAGACCCTAGACCTGGCAGATGAAATGTAAGTCCCACCCCTAAACAGGGGGGCTGTTCACTCAGATTTCATGGCAGGTAAACTCCCCTCAAGGGCCAAAACAGTATGTTAGTATGACGGGTGGTGGAGTGGGTCAGGGCAGGCTCTGAGGGCAAGGACTTCCATCTTGTTCACTGCCTCACCCCTTTAAGTGTTCTGCACTTAAAGCAGAAACTACATCCTCAGTAAAACAGGTAGAACAAGGTGGGGACAGTGGCAAACTGGGAAGTGTGGGTCTTATAGAAGTGTTCTTGCAAAGAGCATTTTTCTGGATGATGTTGCACCTTCAGCCTGCTCTTCCTGTGATGAACAAGCAAGTTCATGTATGAACAGAATGTGAAAATGGCTGCACAGCAATCCTGATGTCCCACCCATTTGATACCACAGGCTCCATGGGGGTCAGGATACACATCACCCCATTCAGATACCTCAAATTTGCCCAGTTACAACCTTGAACTATAAGTCTAAATTTTCACTTTCCCTTCTATCATGCTGCAGTCATTTTTCCCTTGAATCTCAGTCACATGACCTTCTCAAATGATATGGACTATGGAGTGGTTATATCAGCAAACTGTTTGCCTTGCCAGCATGAGGACCTAAGTTCCCATGAGAACCCATGTTTAAAAGGAGAAAAGGCCTAGTGTGATGATACACACTTGGAATCCTTGAGGAGGCACAGACAGGCGGATCCCTGAGGCTCATTGACCTGTCTAGTCAAATTAACAAGTTCTAGGCCAGTGACAGATAATGTCTCAAAAAACAAAAGGTGGATGGGACCTGAGGAGTGGCAGCCAAGGTTGTCTTCTGGTCAACACACACACACACACACATACACACACACACACATACACACACACACACAGGCAAGCTATGCAGAGCATTCTGTTTACTGAATAAAGAAACGACAGACTTTCTAAATATTTATTTTATTTACTAAGATTAACAAATCTGCCTTTATAAATGAACCTAAGAAAAGAGCTGATTGATGCCAAAATAATTTTGAAACCCACTCACCTCCAACATCTGCCAAATCTATTTCTAGGATCCTAGCTGGAGGGAGGCACACTCTATGGATTTTCCCTCAGGTGAAGAGTTGGTTCTAGCTGTTTCCTTGGACACCGGGTCCACATTGCCTCCCTCTGTCTCATTCCCTGATTCTCCAAGCTAAGTTTTTTGGAGCAAATGGCAAAGCTTCTAGAACCAAAAGGAGCACAACTGTTGGGTCAGACAGCTGTCGTGGGGTCAGACAGGCTGGAGTGGAGCCTCACCCTGACTCCTGCGGCTCTTGTGTTCAGCACAGCAGCCTAGAAGTAGCTTCTAGACTGTGGGCCCAGCCACTAGGTCATGACTGAACTCTGCATTCTCTAGTGAAGGAGGAGGGCTGCTTCAAACCTCCTCTACGAATAAAGCCAGTAGAATTCACTCAGAGGAACAATTTTGCCAAAATCAAGTTATAAGGCTAGGGAGATGGCACAGTCAGTAAAGCTCTTGTCTCAAAAGCATGAAGAGCTCAGTTCAGTTTCCCCCAGAACCCACACTTTTAAGAAACTGGGCATGGTGGCACATGCTTGTGATCTCAGGGCTGGGGAGACAGAAACAAGCGGATCTCTGGGCTCACTGGAAAGCTAGCCAGGCCTACTTAGAGTGGTCCAGAACAGTGAGAGGCTCTGTCTCAAAAAACGATAGGTGTTGTCTGAGGACTGATGCCTGAGGTTGTCTTCTGGCCTCCACACACACACATGAGAGAGGGAGAGAGAGCGGGGGTGGGGGGAAGGAGGAGAGGAGAAGAGAAGAGAGGAGAGGAGAGGGAGAATATCAAGCCATGGCTGTCATTGATATTTGGGGCAGGACATATGATTCAGATAGGTACCTTAGAAGGATATATTCTACCAACAACATTAAAATTCTAGGTAAACTGAAACACTTCGCTAGAAAACATGCCTGTGGGCAACAGGTCGTTCTCAAATTACAATCCCTCTGTGAAAGCTGTTTAGAGATAGAAGTGTGACATTGACCTCAGTTTATCCCTTGGTGTTGTGTGTTTAGATGAGCTCAAAGCTGCAGATCATCCCTTGGTTAGAGTGCCTCAATTCCACTGATGACCTTGTCCCAGATCTGGACTGATTATAACTTTGAGCCATGAACATAAAGCCATAACTTGGGCACATTTTCAGTTAGGAATATTTTCAGCCACAGATAACAACAACAAACCCTGCTCATAGTGGCCTCAACAAATAGGCATATTTTTCATGTACCAAGATGCTCAGTGGCAGGTAGTGACTGGTAGTCGTTAGCTAGTCCACCAGCAGCTGGACAAGTCTCTTTTACTCTTTCTGATCCACTATATCCAGCTGTTTGACATCCACACTTACTCCTGTTGGTTCAAAAGCTGCCTATCCACGTTCAAGGTAGAATGAAGTAAAGTAGAAGGTGGGGAGTCAGATGCACCTATTCCTGATTAGAAAAATAGAGGCTTCTTTAGGGACCGGGAGTTGGCTCAGCAATTAAAGCACTTGCCACACAAGCAGCAAACATGATGACTGGAGTTCCAGTCTCGGAACCCACATAAATGCCAGGTGGGTATGGTATCTTGCCACTAATTCCAACCCTTGGAAGGTGAAGACAGGATTCCCAGAGCAGGCTGGGTAGCCAGACTAGCCATATCAGCAAGCGCTGTGTTCAGTTGCCTCAAGGAGTAAGGTAGAAAGTGAATGAGGAAGATTGACAACATCAGACTCAGGCTTCCACATGCATATGTGTGTATGTGCGCACACATGCACACATACCTTGTATGCATGCACACACATATACCATACCATACACATACACATGAAAAAAAAATTTTCTAGCAAGTAGCAGCCTTCCTCTTTGGGCTTGGTTATCTATGGTCACATGACTGTCCCTAGCTACAAGGGAGGCTGGGCAATGGATTGTTTTCCTGTTTGCCTCTAGAGAAGAAGACAAGGTGGGGGCTGGACTTGAGAACAGATGCGTGAGCTGTCACCCGCTGTCTACCAAGAAACCATAGAACTCTGCCAGTCTCCTCATTATACAGATGACAAGAATGGGTTCCAAAAATGGGAAATAACCTGACTAAAGTCCCATAGCTAGAGAAAGCTACAGCATCACCTGGCTTCCTAACTCCTCATCCAGAAAGCCACCAACAAGACCACACTATAGATGTAGTTTCACAGGTTACAATTGGAGTTACGTTGAGGAACTAAAATATCATCTTGCAAATAAAGTAATTGATGTGAGACACAGAACATACCTTCCTCTCAAGGTTGCCTTCCTCCCTCCAACCCTGTGACCCTGGAATCATTCACTGCGAGTCAATTGAGGTCAAGTCCTGCCAGTCCTCCTTTGAGTTTCCTGGTGCTGTGTAGATTTTAACTTCACACCCTCTTGGCACATTGATGTTTGTGCGTGTCATTACAGAGTCAATCTCATGATGCGTGTCAGGATAATGTTAGGATTTCTGTGTCCTTGTTAATGTGATGTTCTTGTCTTCTGTCCCCTTCTGTTATTGGACCAAACAGAAGTATTCTGCTGTTTCTCTCTGCAACATCTCCACAGAAGTCCTGAAGGTCATCAATGCCACGGAGGAGTTGATTGCAGAGTCTACAGGGCCCTGGGAGTTCCCACCCATCCCCACTGACAGAGATAAGGGGACATTTCCTCTTGGAACAGACCAAGTGAGACTGGATGAGCAGCTGACCTCCCTGGAAGAAAACGTAAGACAGTGTAGATGTGCCAGTGTAGGGTGCGTGTGTGTGAAGGACAGGTCAACAGAGTTGTGGGTCTTGTCAAAGAGTGTAAGAACACACAAGACCACCATCACAGCAAGTGTGTTCTTAGAAGAAGCTGAGGCAGGGCTCCCCAGAAGCAAGGAAGAGATAAGGATTTGACCAAGTGACTATCAGGGAAGCTCTCCCAGATGAGCTGGTGGAGGGATGGGGAGGGGAATGGGAAGAAGCCAAGTGCTGATGTGATGGAAACTTCAGTCTCCTGCTGCAGAGAGCTCTCAGGTAAAAGCTGCATCTCAGAGCTGTCCTGACCTGAGGAGGTGAGAGGAACTGGCTCTCCCTACAGTCAGCAGACATGTCAATCTTTCTGTATACACGCAAATGTCTCCAAAGGTGGACCTCTGGAGGTGTTTGATATGTAGGTAGTCAGTACCTACTGAGGCTTGGGGGACAGGGAGGGTGTAAAAAATGCATAAACATACACACCCACACATGAAAATGGAAAAAGAAGTTTAAAAATTATTCAGTGGTATATACTGCAGTAGGGTAAGACTTTCTTCAGGACCATTATGTTAGGTACAGGGGTCTTCTAATAGGGATGAGAGATTGAACTTGGGTTCTGATACAACCTGGGTGAGTGTGAATTAATAGACAAGGAGCAGAGTGAGGGTGACCAGTGGAAAATTACCTAAGGAACCCCAAGGGTTAGGATAAACCAACCAAACAGGAGTCCTGATGTGCAGACCAGGGTGGTGTGAACATCAGCTTGGAACTATTGGAAGATAAGAAACCTGACCAGATATGGGAGTGACTCTCTATCAGGGACAGGGCCTTGGAGCAAAGTGACTGGGCAGAATTCTTTAATAATATTTGATCTAATACTACACAGGTGAGTCTAGGAGACGGTTCCAAGGCTCATTGAAGTTTAGGCAAGCTTTGTTGAGGGAAATATTTGGAGACTAAAAGAGACCGAGGGGAGTGCGTGGAGCCCTACCCCTACAGGACAGGAGTAGCTGCCAATAGAACCTCAGTACTGAGCTGAGGGGATAGTTCAGCGGGTAAAGTGCTTGCTCTACAAGCATGAGGAGCTGAATTTGATACCCTGATCCCATGTAGAAAGGCCAAACCTAGTGACAGGTGCTTGGGTCCCAATCCTGGGGAAACAGAGACAGGTAGACCTCTGGGGCTCATAATCAGAAAGCCTAGTCTACTTGGTGAGCTCCAGGCCAGTGAGAGACTCTTTGTCAAATACAAGGTGGATGGGCCTGGAGAGATGGCTCAGCAAGTAAGAGCACTGGCTGCTCTTGCAGAGGACCTGGGTTCAGATCCCAGCAGCCACATGGCAGCTAACAACCATCTTTAACTCCAGTTCCAGGGGATTCAACACCTTCTTCTGACCTCCACAGGCATAGTACACACAGGCACACTTACAATGCAGACAAAACACTCATAAACATAAAATGTTTTAAAAAATAAATACAAGGTGGACAGCACCTGAGGAACAAATCCAAGGTTGTCCTCTAGCCTCCACACACAGACAGACACACAGACACAGACACACACACACACACACGCATGCGCATTCTCACACACACAAAATGACAGTGGTCAGTTTCATAGTGTATTTAGAACAAGGGCAGCGTGTCTTTCTTCCGTCTAAGGAATATATTGAAAATTACATGACCGGTGTGAGTTCCTATGGCATAAGATAATTTTGCTGTTTGTTATTTGGGGTAGGGGAGGTGCTTCATTCTTTCATTTGAAAACACATTCACTTACCTTCTGGTGCAAGATGTCTGAAGCCCCAGCCAGCAGGATGGACACACACACACCACCTGGCTTTAAGGCTGAGTCTACAGCTAACTGCTCCCTGCTCCAGCCCCACCTCCCCCCCCATTCCCAAGAGTTAACTGTCTGCCACCTCCTCTCTCTCCCCCTTTCTCCAGCTTTTCAATTCTCACCTCAGAAGAAATTCCATCCATATTCCTTTGAATTCTCTGAGTGTTTGAGTGAGAGCTGGGGGTGGAGGGATGAATTTTTTCCCTTCATCTCTCTAATCCCCAGATCAGAGAGCCATGGGTGTGGGACACTGCTCTGCTGTGCCCAGGATTGAATTCAGCCTGACAGCAGGAGAAAACCAGGGCTGGCTCTGAAACCTGCCTCCAACTACAGCTGGTTTAATTAAATAGTGGCTTTTGTTGGTCTGTTCTGTAAAGAGAACTGCTTCATTCTTTAGCTTTCCCTTTCCTTTGTGTTAGGGACCAGGAACGGTCTGAAATAGAAATGGCCTCACCATCCTCTCCTGAAAGTCAGCCGCCTGTGAGCCCCGGCTCTGAGATAAAAGGGAATGTTCTGTTGAGTATATTGACCTTTGGAAATGCTTCTGAGGCTGATGAGATTATAGGAAATGGAACAAAGAAACATCACTCTCCTATTTTTCCTGTTTTCATAAGGGCTTATTAACTCATTTAATCAGAGGAGGGCCTGGGAAGTTTAATTCCCTAGTCTCATTGCACCTGCTGCCCGGAGTTAGCACTGTGAAATCTGCTCTTGTCTCCTCTAAAGTACAGAGTAGCCTGGGGCTCCCCTCAGCCTCCCCAGCAACACACAGTGAGGGCTCAGTTTTGTGAACAGAAAACCTGGGTCTCTAGAGATTTGAAATTCCCACTGGGCAGAGTCCTGCTGTGGTGGTTGGGGTCGGACTGGGAGGGCGGAGATTTGCAAAGGCCTATTCACTGATGTGCAGGCAAAGGTAAGGGAGGCCAGAGGACTGGGAGAGTAGGATGGAGGCAGCAATACCACCCCCACGTAGTACAACCAGAGCCAGAACTGGAGCCCAGAAGAACGCCCCCTAGTGGTAGGTACCACCCCTACATAGTACAACCAAGGCCAGAGCAGCTGGAGCCTGGAAGATCACCCCCTAGTGGAAACAGAAGTGTGGTTCCACCACAACCCTGATGCCAGCCAGGGGAAGACTAGGAAAAACTTTGCGCTCTTGCCTTTAACTTAACTCCAGCCTCCTGTTGGCCAGGAAGATGTGGTCATCAAATTCATATAGGTCAGAATCTTAGCTTCATTCCTGCTGCCGTGATACAGTTCTCCGACAGAAGCAACTTAAAGAGAAACGGTTTACTTGACTCACAATCCGGCTTAAAGTCCATCACTGTGGGGAGGTCAAGGCAGCAGAAACTTGAAGCAACTGGTCATACCACATCCACAGTCAAGAGCAGAGAGCAGTGAATGAATGATGCTGGTGCTCGCCCACTTGCTCCATTTTTTATACAATCCAGGATCCATGTCTAGGGAATAGTGCCACCCACACTGGATGTAAGTAAGTCTTTGTTAATCAAGACAGTCCCCCACAGACAATTAAAATCATCGCAGTCAGTCAAACAGGTTAGAGAAGGATAGGTAATGGAACCAGGAAGATCAGCAGCTGTAACAGCCATTTCAGACCTATGCTGTGAACAATTAGCCAGTGCCACTGTGTAGATTTACTGAGGGGGTTGAGTGGAAAGAATGAGTTAGCTCCTCTCCCTCCTACCCCCCTCTGAGAACCTGTCTCATCTTCTCCTTTGCTCTATGACAGAGGCAAATTGGGATAGCTCGTAACTCCCAGCCCCAGAGGGAGGAGGGAGAATCTGTCCCAGTTTCCTTTTTAGCTCCAGTTCATATTGCCTATGTACTTTACAACCAATGGCAGCAGATACAGTGGAGTGTCCCACAGGCGCCCAGCTCTGCCACCAAACACAGAACAGTGCAGAGAATGTTGGCCCTTCCAAAGCTCTCTTGTGCAGCCCCAAAGCTCGGTGGGTGGGGGCATCAGAGTTCATGGCAGGCACCACAGTTATTTAGGTGGCTTTCTTATCTACATGAGCAAGAAAGAAATACCACTGTCTTGTTAGGCCTCCAAAGTGTGCTTCGTGGAAGCCAAGTTCAGCTCCTTCTGTGAAAACTGGGATACATACTAGCACATTCAAGACCCCTAGAAGTGGGGTTGGGGTGATAGCTCAGTTAGTAAAGTGCTTGCCCTGCAAACAGGAGGACTTGAGTTTAATCCTCAGCGCTGATGAGACAGAGATAGACCTATGGGGCTTGCTGACCAGCCAGTCTAGCTTTCTCTGCAAGTTCCAGGTCAACAGATGCTGTCTCAGAAAACAAGATGAAAAGAGACTGAAGAAAATCAACCAAGGTTGTTCTCCAACCTACACACACACACACACACACACAGAGAGAGAGAGAGAGAAAGAGAGAGAGAGATTCCAAAAGTCTTACAGTAAAGAATTCCACTTAGTGTTCTTTCTCCTAGAGTATTTGACCACCAAATCCTTCCTTAAGGAAATACCTGTTCTCATCTCTTGAACCACTCTGAGAAAGTCTCCTTGAACTAGGATCTATTGGGGGTGGGGTGTCACAGTTCGAAGAGGGCATAGATAACCAGGCAAGGTAACAGTAGTTCTTGCCCAAAGTGGGCCTTCATTAAGCAAGCATTCCAGGTGATTTTTTAAAAAGAAAACCAGAATAGCATTCCATCATATGGCATGCTAACTTCTGTTATTCTGTGCTTGGAACCCAGCCAATATCAGATCCACATGGAACAGCAATAGCTCCACTACCTATGTGCTAAAATTTGAGATGTGAAACAATATAACATTCCAACTGCAATTAAGAACCACAGCACAGGGCTGGAGAAATGGCTCAGTGATGAGAGGCACTGGCTGCTCTTGCAGAGGACCCAGGTTCAAATCCCAGCATCTCCATGGCAGCTGACAACCATCCTTAACTCCAGCCCCAGGGAATCCAACACCTTCCTCTATCTTCTGCAGGCACTGCACAACACAGGTGCATTTACATACATGCAGGCATAACAAACTCATACATACAAAATAAAAATAAATAAGAAAAGAAAAAGAATCACAGCACCACAGGGCAGAGAGGGCAAAGGCATGTGCTCGCACCAGCTCCTGTCCAGCCTGTACCTCATTCCAGCTGAGACCTGGGGAAGTCACTGAGTCTTCCTAGAATTTAAAATGTTCTCCTCTTTAGCACAGTGCTTATAATAGCACCTATGTATAGATCACCTGAGCATTAAAAAGATAAGTCATAGGCAATCAAAATGGCTCAGGTGGGTAAAGGCACCTGCCACCAACTCTGACAGTATGAGTTCGATCCCTAGGACCCACATGGTGGAAAGAGGGAACGAAGACAAGCTCTCCTCTGAGCTGCTCACCATGGTACACGCATGCATACACATGCATACACACACACACACCACATCTATACACAAATAAATCCATGTAATTTAAAAGGTTTTTTTAAGGCAAGTTATATGAAACTCTTGCATTGGTCCAGGCTCAGCAATACCATCCTCCTCCTCCAGGCCCTTCTAGCTCCATCATTTTAGTTGTAAGATTTTATTCAGCTGGGCACAGGGACAAATCACTGAGGCTCCCGCCCATCTGGTGCCAGGAAAGTAAACTTTTAGGAAACAAAAAGTATATGGCCATTCCAGCTTTACTGAGGGCTTAGATCGATTTCCTATTGTTTTGTCTTGGCAGGGAGGAAAAAAAAGCAAGGAACATAAGCAGATGACTGAGTTGAAAATACAAAAAAATATAAACAGAAGTTTGGGGTAGAAATGGCCTCAGGGATGAAGATACTGAGTTTTACAAGGCTTATCTTCATCACCAGTTATATCCAGTAATTTTTATCTGTTGCCTGTCAGCTTATATTTTAAAGTATGTTGTTAAAATAAATTTAGTGTTTTATGTAGATAAGGTAAAATTCATTCCAGTTTCTCTTTCTCTCTCTCTCTTCCCTCGCCCCTCTTAGTTTGCCCTGTCTTAGAACTTCAACATCTGTGTATGCTTGCATGCATGCATTCACGTGTACACATGCAGGGGCACACAAGCCAGAGCAGAGAAGCATCTTGGGTGTCTGTCCTTATCTTCCTCCTTGTTTGAGACAGAATCTTTTATTGTTTTCTGGCTAGCTGGCCACAGACTTCTGACAGTTCTACTGTCTCTGCCTCCTGTAACAGCTGCGTGTCTATGCTTTTCTTCTGTGGTGTCTTGGGATTTGAATTCAGCCCTTCATGCCTGGAGAGCAAGCACTCTTAACCATTGAGCCATCTCCCCAGCCATCAACTTCAACGTTTTTTATTTTTTTTATTATTTCTGTTCATTTTGTGTGTATGAACGTATTGCCTGCTTGTATGTAAGCACGCCCACTCATGTGATGTGATGCCAGTGGAGGTCAGAAGAGGGCGTCAGATCTCCTGGAACTGGAGTTAAGGACAGTTGTTAGTTGCCATGTGGGTGCTGGGAATCGAACCTGGGTCCTCTGCAAGAACAATCAGTGCTCTTAACTGCTGAACCATTTCTCCAGCCCCAACTTCAGCATTTTTTAAGAACTATGTGATATGAAAAATGTCTCCACTCAGTTACTTCTGAAGCATTTATTTTTCATTTGACAGTGACGAACCCATTCTTCTTTTAAAAGCAAAGACCAAGTGGCCTTATTGTATCCTGAATTTCTCTAAATTCGGCAAATGATAAATGTACATGAAAGGCAAACTACTTATGACGACCACTGCCCAGTCTGCTGATGTGTGGCCCCTTGTAGTGGCTGACTCTGATGGGACAGATGTCTGTGTGTAGGGCACTGCCTGGAGCTCCCACTCATGAGGCATTACACCTGGTATGGCCCACAGCCAAACTGCCTTTCATCCAGCCTGTGCCAGCCTTTGCTCCACTTTGAAATGTTCTGTGAAATTGCCAGTTTTAGCTTAGAAGAGTGACTGGTGCCAAGAAATTGGCAGAACAGAAGCATCTCCAGGTTCTCTCACACCTCACTGATACCCAGCATTGCAAGGTGCCAAGGATGTTCACAGCTTATGTCCGTGAGCTCTCTAGGCTGGTCCTCAACTCTGTTATATTTTTAACTCAAATTAAAGCCTGGGGCCATACATTTAATCCCAGTGCTTGGGAGGCAGAGGCAAGCAAATTTCTGTGGTTTGAGATCAGCCTGATCAATATACCAAGTTCTAGGCTGTCCAAGGCTACATATTGAGACCCTCTTAAAAATTTTTAACTCAAAGACTAGAGATATCTCAGTGGGTAAAACACCTTCAGAGTGAACATGAGGCCCCAAATTTAGATCCCCAGAACCCATATAAAGCCAGACTTAGTAGAACACATTGTAATCCCAGCACTCCTATAGTTAGATGGGAGGAAGAGACAGGACAATCCTTGGAAGCTCACAGGCCAGTCACCTGCTGTATGCAGTGGCCAAAAACAAGAGACCCTTTATCAAACAAGGTGTAAGGTGAGGACTGACACTTGAGGTTGTCCTTTGACCTCCACACATGCATGCTCCCATCCATCCTCTCTCTCACCCTCCTCTCTCTCTCTCTCTCTCTCTCTCTCTCTCTCTCTCTGAGAAAGAGATACAGTCCTGACCATCCACTTCATTCAGATCAACTCTAAATTGCTGTGATTACATGTTTAAGACTTTATAAATGTTGGTTTATCCTCAAGAAGCTCTAAGGAATTTGTTTCTTTGGCTAAGTCTACCCCCATGCAGCTGGGTGTTTGATCACAATATTACTTAGCCTGACAAAACACTTGTGGGGTCCTCCTCCCCACTACTTCTTAGCCAGAATTACTCCAACCCTCGACTTGCCAATTTGACATTTTTATAAAGATGACCATAGAAACTTCTAAATCAATATATTTTAAATATTTTAATTTCTTATGTGTTTTTGTTCTAAATTGTCTTAATAAAATACCTAATGATATGGGTGTTTTGTTTTGATGTTTTCTTTTGTTTTCAGACAGGGTCTTATGTAACCCAGGCTATCCTCAAATTTACCACATATCCCAGGGAAGACCTTGAACTCCTGACACCCCTGCCTCTACTTCCTGAGTTCTGGGATGATGGGTATACCATACCTGGTTTTGTGCAGTGCTGGGGATTGAACCCAGGGCTTTCTGCATATTAGGTAAACATTCTACCAACTGAGCTATACCCCCAGCCCCCAATATATTTTATTTCAAATTGCTCCTTTTAGAGCCACATATGGTGACTCAGTCCTTTAATCCCAGCACTGGGAGGCTGAGGCAGGAAGATTCTAAATTCAGGGCAAGTCTGGGCTACATAGTGAGACACTCAAGTCCTTCCAATACCCTCCATATCAAACTTTCTCTCTTTATGTAATTTACTTTCAAATTTTCAGTAATTGAAAATCCTGGGCTAGAGAGATGGCTCAGTGGTTAAGAGTGCTGGCTGTTCTTACAGAGGACCCAGGTTCAGTTCCCAGCACTTACATGGCAGCTAACAACCATCCATAACTCCAGTTCCAGGGGATCTGACACACTTTTCTGACCTCACTGGGCATTGCACACTTGAGGTGCACTTACATACACACAAGAAATACACTCATACATAGAAAATTTAAAAAGTAAGATATTTTTCAAAATTGCTAATCATAGATAGGTTTGAGATGATTCTGTGCCTATCATTGTGCTTTCTGATATTTTCCTTCTATAAATTTCAGACTCATTTGAATTTCCTGAACTTATTTTAAACAGGCAGGACACTAATAAGAGGTGATATCTTCAAATTTAATTATTTTAAATTAATTATATCTTTTTTATGTTTTTTGGTTTTTTTTCTCAATGATTAGATGTCAACCAAAATTTTTATTGGGAAACAAAATTCCATCATGAGTTTTTCCACTTTGTTTCCATTTGGATTTGTTGATATAAGTTACTGGACAAACTCGCATTTGGTATTAAATATTTCATCCCATTTTATGAAACCACTTTTCCTTGCAGGCAAGTTGAAGGAGGGAGGGGTGTGGTTTACAGTGGGAGAGGGAGCAAGGCCTCATGTCTTCATCTAAATGTGAGGACTGTGTGTGCACGGGCTTTCCATCTCTTACCCCAGTGTTGAACCCAGTTTTTTCTTGCTCTCCTGGATGACTGATGTCCCCTGAAAGAACCTGGCCAGTCTTCAGACCTGAGCTCAGAGGCTGTGCTCTCTGCAGGTGTACCTGGCAGCAGGTACCGTGTATGGGCTGGAGGACCAGCTGAGTGGGCTGGAAGATGCCGCCCGCAGTATCCATAGCGGCACTGGCGAGACTGAGCTGGCCGAGCTGGAGGACCAGGTGGCCGCAGCCGCAGCCCAGGTGCACCACGCTGAGCTCCAGGTAAGACCTCTCCTCTCTGTTCATGTCAAAACAGGAAGCTCCTGATTTCACAGTCATGATGCCTACCCAGGCAGCACGGGTATCTCCAGTGGGCCTGGATGTAGATGGCCCTATGAGGTGGAAAACTCCACCAAACCTTTCCCAAGGTACATCGCTCCTCTCTCCCAAAGTAAAGCTGAGATCATATATTGAATTCTCTTTAAATCCTATGCTGTGGGCTGACAAGATGGCTCAATTGATTAAGTGCTTGCCACTCAAACATAAGGACCTGTGTTCAGATCCCCAACACCCACATAAAAAAGAAAGCCAGACATGGTGGTAGGCACTGGAATCCCAGTGTTGGGGAGGCAGAAACAGGAGGATCCTGTTTCTAGACTGGCCTGCCAGTCTAGCCAAATCAGTGAGCTCCAGGATCAGTGAGAGACCCTGTCTGAAAAAATAAGGTAGAGAGTAATTGAGGAAGACACCTGATATCAACCTCTGGTCTCCACAGTGCACATGCACATATGTATGTGCACTCTCGTACACAAGCACAAGCATGTGCGTGTGCACACACACACACACACACACACACACACACACACACGCATGCCCCACATGAACAAAAATAAAAATGAATCTTAAAAAGAAAATGGGGTGAATGAAGGAATGAACTAGGAGGGTGGATTCTCGTCCCGTGTGAGGAGTGCAGGGTTTGGAGGATGGATTCTCGGTCTGTGTGAGGAGTGCAGGGTTCAGATGCAGCTGCTGTCACTGAATGCTCCCATCTGGTTTCTGAAGGTGCCTGTCTGTAGCTTTCCTGGGTATGCCCTTGGCCTTCATGGATCAGAACTGGTCACAGGTTAATTCACTGATTCTCTAACTGGGATGTGTGCACATTCTCTCAAGGACTCAAACCTTTCTTTTTTTTTTAATTTTTACAAAAACTATTGAGAATTTCATACACGCATATAAGGTGTTTTGATCAAATCCATCCCCACTTCCCCCCCTCCATCATTCCCCCCTCTGAAGAGGTAACCCTAAAATCTTTTAAGGATTAGATACAAGCTCCCAAATACTTTTGACATTTTTGGCCTTTGGAACAGAGTATGTTGCTAACAGGCCCAAGGACATTTTCACTTTTAGCCAAGAAACTGGATAAATTTCTTTGGAGTCTTTTTACCCTAGCTGCCTAGCCAATTCCTACGAAATGGACACCACAGGAAAATTCCAAACACTGAAGGAAAACATCATTTCAAATCCACATAAGCTTTTCCAAAAACATAAAAGTACACATTTCCAAGTTGGTTTTATAAGGACTACAGCAGGAAAGGTGAAAAGTACAAGGGAAGCTTATTACAAGAATAAATGAAATACTTAATTTAAATATTAACAGAGTCAAGCAATGCATAAAAATGATAATAAGTTATACAAAATTCAGAAAGCAGTGTGGAGAACTCTTAAAAAACTACAAATAAACCTACCATTTCCTCGAGAATCGGTGGCCAACGGATTGCCAGCTGTTGCTGTGGACCAGCGGGTGGTGGGTTGTGCACTGCTATGCCAGCTGTTGGCTGGGGTGTGCGGGTTTCTGTGTGGGTCCCTGGCTCTCCGCGGCTACCGGGCGCTGGCGGCTCTGCGGGTCGCTGTCAGCTGCCGGGCGGGTTCTGTTCCAAGGTGCCAGATGCTCCCTCTGTGCACACGATCCATTGGCCACCGGATCACAAGGGGAGGTGCAGGAATGGCGAAAGCAGGATCTTTGCGAGTGAATGTTGACGGAAGGACAGCCCCCTCCGGGAAGACTGAATCACAGGCTGGTTCCAGGCGCAGTGAAACACAGGATACAGCTCCAGACAAGTTCAGTGATATAGCTTTGCTTTATTGGGGTGAAACCAGAAGATTTATAGTGTGGAGGCAGTAGCAAAAACCTCAGTTGATAGGTGCTCCTAGGATGTCCCAATTACATGTGGCGGTGGGCTTCTATCAGGCTGTCAGACAATGCCTGATTATCATATAGGAAAACCTGGTAGTTTTTATGTCAGAGGTCATGTATCTGTGGCGGCCACTTCAAAGGTGAGTCAGGAAGAGAGTAGGAGGCACCCTGCTGGAAAGGGGAGTCTCTGCATAAAAACGCCGAGCCCCTTAGGCTATCCGGACATGGAGAGACTGCAACCCAAAACAGCAGGGGTTCCCAACATCTCCCCCTGCTTGACTTAAAAATGGAGAAGTGCCATCACAAGCCCTAAGGGCCAACTTATCTTATCTCGGGAGAATCCAAAGTCTGATAATTGACCATGACCTGTTTTTGTAGTGATTTTAGTAAATGGCAGTAATTTGTCAGCAAAGAAATCTTATAAAGCAGTGAGCAAGCATCAAAATAATATACAGTATTACCAGGGGGCAACAAGGGATAGGAGCTATGCAAACAAGGGATTGCTAGGCCAACCTAATTGTTTGGTGGGTTGAAATCTTGAAAATAAATCATTACAAAGTTTTTTGAGAGTGTTAACATTGGTTTCAACAATATTTGATTCATTTACAAAGAAACAGCATTTTCCCCAATATCATACACCCTTCCCATGTTTAGCAGTTATCAAGTCCAATGTTCTTTTGTTGTGAAGCACAATCTTGGCGAGAGAGTTTATTTGTTGTCGGAGAGATTATGTTCAGCACTTATCAAGTCCAATGTTCTGTTGTGGAGCACAACCCTGGCGAGAGAGTTCATTTGTCGTTGGAGAGATTCCAGGCTGTCAGTCATGGATGCCATTGCCTGGTCCAGAAAATCTCCCGCCAGGTGCTGGGTTTGCCGTCGCTGTGCTTCCAGCACCCAGGGAGAGTGCAAGTCCGATCCTTACGAGCAAAGGGATGAGGATTTCTTTCTGTTGGCGGCTGTGTAGGAGGAAGGCGGTTTCTTCCTTCTCAAGTAGGTACACCTGGGGTGTAATCATTACTGGTATAAAAAAGGTGGACAAAGAGAAATTAACACAGTTTTGGGCTTTTTCTTTGCACCATTTGAAGAGAGGAGGGGCGATGCATGCTGTACTGGAGAGAGTATTGTTAGTGAGGCATTTGTAATGAGTAGGCTTACTCACTGAAAATGCAAATTGAATAGTTAGCCAGTTGTTTGAATCAGTA